TGTGGGGCGGGTCCCACTGGTGGGCCATAGAGCCACTGCAGGAGGGGATGTGGATGACCGGGGGGGAAACATAGAGTGAAACAAGGTTGAATGAATGTGATTTATGCTTGGAAAATAAAAGAGTTTGCAGTTGCTATTGTCCTGACCTTTATTTCCTTTCTTCCTTTTTTTTTTACTAGTTTGTTAATGATTGATACAAATTGAGGGGCGTGAACATAAATCATATAAAGCCTAATTAAAAAGTGCTACCCACATTTGACTTTGGTACTTGTTGTACAACTAAATGAAGAGCACACACACACACACAGGCTGTGAATATTGTTATTTTTTTTCTTCCATAAAATGTAGCAGCCACTAAACGTCTACGGACAAATATACAGACTTGTATAAAACTATAACATTAAAACACATAAAAACATTGTTAGTTTAGTGATCTAAATGTTGATCTTCTGCTTTGCTCAGACAGCTTTTACTCTTGTACCTTATTCAGGGCGTGGTCTGTAAACACATCACGCCATTCTTACATAAGGTATGCATTACGGAGATGATTGGCAGACGTAAACTGACGTAAAAGGGCTGTCACTGTAAATGACTCTCTCTTGTACAGGTGTTCTTTACCTGTACTGACACAGAACTAGAGTCATGTTCAGTGAAGTAACAACAGTGTGGTTCAGCGCTGTGTTTCCCACTGAAGGAACATGGAGATTAATCTAAACCTCTACATGAGTTTAATGATTTCAGCTGTGAGGCTTTTAACAAACACATTACACCAGTTTCTCTCCACAGGCTCTATGTCATGTTCAAAGACTGATTTTTACTTTTTTATCTCTGGCATACACTACAGGGCCAGGCAGCTGTGTATTTAAAGGAGTTGTTGTGGGCAGATCTTCAGCGCTGCTCCAACATCAAGGCTGAAAACTGAAGGTTATCGTGCTTTTGTTTGGACTCTGGAGGAGCCGCCCACAAAGTTTCAGAGAAACCAAATCAGTGCGAATCATTAAAAAGCATCTTTAAAACCTCTCTCTTATCTTTCTGTTCTTTCTTTGTGTAAAGCACTGCGCAATGTAAGTCAATGATTTACCAAAAACAGGAGGAAATAATGGATTTGTTGGGGATTATTGATCCACGTTTGCTCTTGTGAGTATTTGGGGCAG